AATTTAATAATTAGAGTCTATCTTAAGTTAGTTCTTTATCAATTTCTAGACAATGCAAAGACCTTACAATACCCTTATCTCTCACCTTTTGTGCGTGGTATGTATTTTAATTCTACATATACTTTAAACTACATAAGACATAATTTTTTGGTTTGTTTTAAATAACTCATATTATTTATTTTTAACCATATATTTGCCCATTACTGTTACTACTTCCTGCATTTGCATTTTTCCACCTGGAATTATATCCTTATGCAAGAAGAACTCCTTTGGTGCCTAGGCACCAAGTTCTCGTAGGTTTTGATTATCTGAAAATGTTTTTATTTTTCTTTATGGAGAATATTTTTCCTGACTGTAGAATTTACAATAGTAGTTAATTTTCCTTCAACATTGTAAATATGTCATTTTTCCTCTTTGAACTTCTTTTGTTTTTGTTGAAAAGCATACTGTTGTTATTCTTATTGTTGCTCATTTAAAGGAAATGCCTCTTTTTTTTTTTTTTTTAAGAGAGACAGCAAGAGAGGGACTACAAGCAGGGGAAGTGGAAGAGGGAGAAGCAGGCTTCCCACTGGGCAGGGAGCCCGATGTGAGGCTCCATCCCAGGACCGTGGGGTCATGACCAGAGCCGAAGGCAGATGCTTAATGACTGAGCCACCCAGGCACCCCGGAAATGTCTATTTTTAATTGGTTGCTCTTTAAGATTTTTCTGTCTGTGATTTTTAGTAGTTTTATTATAGTGTGCCCAGATGGGGTTTTTGGCTTTAGGGTTTTTTTTTCGTGTTTTGTGAGGTTTGTAGAACTTACTGCATCTGTCACTTGAGATGTCTTTCTATTGTTTAAGAAGATTCTCAGCCATTTTGTCTTTCAAATATTGCTTTTGCTCTGTACTCTCTCCTTTTTCTGGGATTCCAATTTATGTATTTTAGATATTTTACTTTGTTTTTTATATATATATCTCATGCTCTTTCTATTTTGTTTTGTTTTGTTTTTTTTAGAGAGATAGAGAAAGAATGTGTGTTCTGGTGGGAGGGGCAGAGGGAGAATCTCAGGCAGGCTCCATGCCCCGCCACAGAGCCCAACACAGGGCTTGATCTCACGACCCTGAGAGCATGACTTGAGTTGAAATCAAGAGTCAGATGCTTAACCAGCTGAGCCACCCATGCATATTTCTGTATTTTCTGTATTTTCAATCCTATTTTTCTGTGTGCTTCTATTTGGATAATTCCTATTGATCCATTTTCCACTATACTGATTATTTCTTCTGTAATGTCTAATTTGCTACTGAATCCATCTACTGAATTGCTCAATTATTTATCTGTTCCAGAATTTCCTTTTTTCCAATAGATTCCAATTCTATGGTGAAATTCTCTTTTCTGTATTTTCCTAAACATATTAATCATACTCAATATTTCAGGTCTTAATGTAATTTTTCTTTACCTTTAGATGTATCTGTCATCTTTTTTTTTCCTCCCTCTTTTGGCATTTGGCCATTTGGTTCTGTTTCTTGATATGCCTGACAGTTTTGAATTGAACTTTAGATTTTGTGAATGAAAAATTGTAGAAGCCCCTGAAGTTGTGTTTTTTCCCAGATATATTTAATTTTCTCACAAGCAGATAGACTGAGATGGCATTGACCTGTTCTGGTCTATTTCTACTCTACATTTCTTCTAGTTCATCATCATTCTGGGGTCTCAACTGAAGTATGATGTTTGTACCAGAGTCTCCCCACTTTGGTGAGACTTAAACTCCAGTCTTTGTCTCTGCAGTACCCTTGGGATTGCTGCAGTATCTGTTCAAACCTTCAGTATCCCAGCTTCTGGTTTTTAGCTGTCTCATCCAGCAAATGTTCATCTTGGGAGTTAAAAAATAGAGGCATTTTTGTTCATTTCTTTGTTGTTCTTTCCAGGCTCTTGACCCCTTAAATCCTTGGTAGTTCCAAACTCCAGCTATTATCTTTCCATTCCAGTGGAATGTCATCAAGCTCTCGGCTGCCACTTGGCCTCTGTTTCCCTATACTTTAAATCTGAAAGTGCACTGAGAAAAGAAAACACCTCCATATCTTCCTGTGTCTCCAGAACCTTGGCCTCTTATGTCCTGGCTGCCTTGTTTGTACTTCAGTGCCTCTAAAGAATAGGTTGTTTTGAGTTTTTAAAAATCTTGTATCTTTGCCTCTTCACCAGCAAGAGACATAGTGTGACATAAACTACTCCATCAAATCTGAATGGAAGTTCTCGAGTTCTCTTTTCATTTACTAATTTTTAATATCTAAACATAACTGATCCACTGGAAGACTTTTTTAATTCTAAAGATTTTATTTTATTTATTTATTTAGAGAGAGCATGAGTGGGGGGAGGAGCAAAGGGCAAGAAGAGGAGAGCATCTCAAGCAGACTCTGCGCTGAGCACGGAGCCTGATGTGGGGCTCAATCTCATGACTGAGAGGATGACCTGAGCCGAAATCAAGAAGCAGATGCTTACCTGACTGAGCCACCCAGGCGCCCCAACAGTTTTTAATTCTAAAAACTCATAAGTTACTATGATTTTAGCTGAGAAATAGATTACATTTCTTTGAGCATTGTTTTATCTACTCCTACTCTTAAAAAATAGACTTTCTATATATCTTGCAAGAGACATTTCCTTTGTTTCCTTAGGTCTCTAATATATGAAATTGAGATTCATCCAGCTTGAATTATTGTCAAATAGGTAATTTTGCTACAGAAAGACTTGCTGTAGAAAGTATGGTTCTTTAATATGTATTCCTCTTTTCATTAAGTTCATAGTTGTTGACCCTTTTCACTATGTATCTTTAAGCACTCTAGATTTGGTTTTTAAATATAATAATATCAACATTTCCTTTGTGGTTCTTTATCTTTATACAAACCTAAATTGATTTTTATATTGGAAAATGACATTTGTTTAAAATGATCATAGAAACTTCTCAAAGAAATATGCCTGTTTGGGTCCCAGTTTCTTAAAAGTATTTGTGGGACACTGGAACTGAGTGACTATGACTTTAAGTCCTTTATGAAAGCTTCTTAATGAATGTGCTTAAGAAACTATCATGGTTAGTACTGTGCCAAAGGAGAACACTTAAAACCAATACTTTTATCTTTAAAAATAAATTCTGTGCTTGGTGGTGGTGTGAATAATGCTGTGCTAGGTAAAAAGCTCCTGGTGTGACTGGTTTTGATGCCAGGAATTATAGAAAGAACTTTATAGTTCTTGTATTTTGGAAGTGTAATTTTGTTTTTCAGAACAGTCTTTTATAAACTTTTTCATACTGTCCCTGATTCTAGGTATTTCAGGTGAAATCAAATGTTGGATACAGTGTGTTCTATACACAGTTGCAAATACTATCTTTTCAGGAATTTTAACCCTTTATATAATGTATTACTTCGTGTCTTAACTTCTTCTTTAGTGACATCAGTAATGGTATTAGTCTAGAAACTAGTAGAAATCTAATAGTACCAGAAACCAGCATCCAAGTCTGTATAAATTTTCTTCACTGGGATTTTAAAGTTCTAATGGTCTACAAAATAACAAGCAATAAAATTTAACAAATAATTAATTGTTTGATATTAGTGGCTCAACTTGAAGATGCAATTCTCTTAATTTTCTAGGAGAATTGGCCTTGTTTTAAATGGAAAGATGAAGAAAATAGTGCTATCAACAAACCAATATAACAATTAATATAAAATCTTTTCATTTAGCTTTAAAAATATGTGCCTTTGTGTCTGTTGTACAGTTGTATGTCTGGATTTATTTGTTTTGTATTGCTGCTGTAACAAATTACTACGACCTTAGTGGCTTAAACAGTATAATTGTGTATGATCTTATAGCTCTGTTGATGAGAAATCTGACGTGGGCTAAAATCTAGTTGTTGGTAGGGCTGCATTTCTTTCTGGCAGCTCTAGGGAAGAATCGGTTTCCTTCTCAATTGTCTTATTGGTAGAACTGATTCTTTGAGCTGTAGGACCAAAACCCAGGTTCTAGTTTTATTACTTACTGTAAGCTGAGAGTCTTTCCTAGCTTCTGGAGGCCACCATATTTCTTGGGTCCTGGCCCCTTTTCCATTTTCAAAGCCAGCAATGCAGGGGTTGAATTCTCTTCCTGTTGCATCTCTCTGACCCATTCTTCTTCAGTTAGCAGCCACTTTTGAAGACTCATGTGTTTAAATTGGGCCCACCTGGGTAATCCAGTTAATCTCCCCATTTCAAGGTCATTAATCTTAATCAGATCTGCACAGTCCCTGTTGCCATGGAAAATAACATATTTATAGCTCCCAGAATGTGTACATCTTTGGGAGGCCATTATTCTGCCTATCACATTGGTTAATGTAGGAATTTATAATGTTTCATATTTTAAAAAAACAAAAACAAACAAACAAAAAAACAAACCCAGCACTACAATGTGGAAACCTGACTCAGGAAGAAGTGAGAACAAGTCCAGTTTCCTTGTTCTTTACCCTGATCAGCTCTCCTTATGTTAACCTCAGGCTAGACCTAAGTATCACTATTTCTTAGCCTGATTCTAAGAACCTGGTTAATCAGAGTTGCTGTTTTACTTTTTGCCCTTGTGTGGGAGGATATCAGATGTTTTGGTTTTACAACTTTTTTAGGGGCTGTAGTAGGAGTAAAAGAAAGCAATAATAATAGTTTGGGTCCATTAAGTACTTATGCCAGGTACAGATCTAAGCACTACTCATTTTCTCATTCAATCCATTTACCAACTCTGATGTAGGTACTATTGTTACTCCGTATTACTGGCAAAGAAACAATGCTTAGAAACTGTCTTGCTCCGGGTTTGACTGGGAAGTGGTACAGCGAGAATTCAAACCCGGATCTTTTTAATGTTTGAGCCCATTCTCTTTATTGTGATAACATTTAATATCACTACTTTTATTAAGTTCTTGTGAGTATTTATGTGGAAAATGTGTTACTTTAAATCACTGTCTTACCAAGCGAATGCATTTTACACTTAATTTCATTTTTGTTCATACAGGTGAAAAACCATACAAGTGTCAAATTTGCAATCAATCTTTTAGAATTAAGAAAACTTTAACAAAACACCTGGTTATTCATTCTGATGCCCGACCTTTCAACTGTCAGCACTGTAATGCAACATTTAAGCGGAAAGACAAGCTGAAATACCACATTGACCATGTTCATGGCATAAAATCTCCTGACGATCCTCTCAGTACTTCTGAGGAAAAACTTGTATCTTTGCCAGTAGAATACTCGTCTGATGATAAAATCTTTCAAACAGAAACAAAACAGTATATGGACCAACCCAAAGTTTATCAGTCAGAAGCCAAGACTTTGTTACAGAATGTGTCTGCTGAAGTGTGTGTTCCAGTAACATTGGTTCCAGTTCAGATGCCGGACACTCAGAGTGATCTGGTGCGTCATACAACCACGCTGCCACCATCTTCTCATGAGATCTTGTCGCCACAGCCACAAGCAACTGATTACCCCCGAGCAGCTGATTTAGCTTTTCTGGAAAAGTATACTCTCACTCCTCAACCTGCAAATATAGTTCATCCAGTACGACCTGAACAAATGCTAGATCCTAGAGAACAGTCTTATCTTGGAACATTACTAGGCCTTGATAATGCTACTGCTGTACAAAGTATTTCTAATAATGAGCATCATTCATGAGTAAATCTAAACATTCCACAGACTTTTTTGATGGTTATGTGTTAATGGTAGCCTAGACTGATGGCTTTTAAAGTAGTAAGGCTGCTATTTTTTCATTTTCTCTAGTTTCTCCAGTCCTCAGAACCATTTCAAATCAAGAAAAATATGTATATCTGTTTACTGAACATATGAATGAATATTTGGACACATTTTGAGGTATAATATTTGAAATGAACATTTTTATGATTTTTTTAAAGATGACTTAGTGCTAATTTTTAATGGTTTCTCAAACTTTTCAAAATTACTGGCTGTTGACTTTATGGTTTTGTTTTTGGTTTTGTTCTTAATTATCCATGAAATTTTTATTGTTTAATTTCAATCCTTTTTTCTCCCTTCACCATCTTCTAAACAAGCTTAAGGACCATGTAGCCTTTAAGAAAGAATATGAGAGTACACTGATAATTACAACTCTTCCTTATCCTAACTTAAGATTCATTATTCTTCCTTCCACATTTTAAAAAACTGAAATTAGGAATTTAATTTTATAGGGAAGTCTTGGATATTTCTGTGTTTTTTATTTTTTATGTGGCCCTAATTTTAGGTTATTATTAATCCTTTGGTCTTTTGACAAACTCAAAGCCAGAAAGCTAACTTAAGTAAGATTAGCTTGTTAAATGAAACCTAGAATTGAAATAATTCTCCAAATGATTGGTTTTTGCCTATGCTTCAATTATTGTAAGAAATACAAATTTTTAATGTATAGGCATTAAATTATACAAGTTGAAAATGTATTAAAGACAAATTGTGACAGTTTTAACTAGATAGCTTTGAAGGTAAGTTCATCTTTTATATTTTGTCACTTAAGAAACATCAACAATACATCATACCAGGTATCTTCATCTCACTAAAGGAGGGGCAATTATAATAATCAATGAAATTTAATTAACACGCTACTTTTGGTCTCATCTACTTTGGCTAACAAAATTGTGGGAAACAGAACCTAGGTATTTCATATATAATTGTTAGGGAAGGTGCCAAATTATAAAATTCATGTCTAACTAAACTTAATGTTTACTTTAATTAAAGGGAACCACTATTTGTATACAGATTTACATGTAATCTAGATCTTTATTTTGCTTTTCACAGAAGCCTAATGTCTGTAATTATCCTTGATTTTTATTTTTGTAGGAGATAAAAGTTGAGGACTTGGTGAAAGGAAATAGCAGTTAGAGCAAAAACCTCACTGATAAAAATTAATCGAGGAAAAAGTCAGTCAAAATTATAAAATACCTTTAAAGATGTGCACTTTCCATATTTTCAAGTCAATTTAAACTTAAGCTAGGATAATGTTTCCTAGTAGAGCTGCTTGAAGGATTAGAATAGGCAGGGTTGATTTATTATTAGCATGTCATTTGTATGTAAACTACTGGAAAATAGCAATTTTAAGAGTTTTCTAGTTCAGTTTTGTTTACACTCCTAATTGCTTTAAGCACTTTTTTTTGTGTGTAAACTGTAAAGTCTGGCCCAGCCCTTGTGAAAAAAATCACAAATAAAATAATGAAGTTTTAATGAATAAAATTTAACCACTTAATAATGGGGAAACTTGTTTGCTGAAGCACTTAAGAAATGAAGGTACTTTAACATTCACCATACTAGTGGCAATAAAACAAAAGAAAAAAAAATGTTGAGATTGAGGCAGTTAACCAAAGTAGCTCATATAAGTAACAAAACCGACCTGAATTTTGCCTCAGTTATCAAAGTTTGGTTGTAATTAATCTAGGACCAGTAGATATAATTAATGTATTCTTCTTTTTAAAAGGTTCTTACTTTTGTGTGGAAATGTTATATCTGGGGTACTTACATGATTTAACTTGACTATATGAGGTACTATTGTTAGTCTGTTAGTCTTTCAAATTGACTTAAAAATACAGATCTTTATGATTTTTATCATAAGGAGCAGCAAGACTTTTAACTAAAAAACATACTGTAATGAGATGAAATAATACCTAAAAGTATACCCTGCCTTACATATAAACCATCATAGAAAAGTCTGGACTTATCAAAAGGCAGATGATATGTATGTGTCTGTGTATGGTATATTGTATGCTTGGTAGCAAGAAAGAAAGAAGGTGTTGCATTTTCACATTGAAAAGAATACTTTGCTTTTTGAAGGTATTTACTTTAGGATTCTTTTAATAATAATTTCCTAATGCTTTAAATATATAATTTGATTGTAGGAATTGGTTTACGGTATAAAACTTTTCTGGAATACATCTCTTAATGTAAACTGAAATAGAATTATATTTAGTTATTATTGTAGATAAACTTGAATACTGATTTACTCTTTCATAAAATGCTTTCAGTTATCTCGTTTAACCTCATAACCAGCTCTGAAAGAGAAAGGACATGCTATATTCCCATTTTAGAGATGAAGAATCTGAGGTTAAGATAAAGGACTCAGTTAAGCTCACATCATTAATAAATGTCAGAGCTACTAATAGGGAAAGAAAGCCAGCATTAATAAATGCTTACTAAGTGCCAGGCACTACATTTTCTCATGTAATCTTAAACAGTCTGGGAATTAGATAGTATAATTCTTACAAAGAAATTATCTCAGCGGGTGGACAAACACACACAAATCTGCTGCCTCTAATTTCCAAAATTAGAATATAGGAAATTTTAAAATTGTGAAAACCTCATGGATTTGGGCAAACTGAATGTATATAAGTTGTTGAAGTTGGCACAAAAAATATGTAATGAGGCCTACTCTTTTCAGTTAACCTTTTGTAATATTTGGAGTATTTGGACAAATGTTCCATTAACTCTGAAATCCATTAATTTTATAACTATACTTAAAATTTTGAATCTTGCAACTAAGTTTAGCCTCATTCAGAATTTTTTATTTTATGAACATAATTTATTGTTTTAAATTAATTTTTTAGCTGATAGCAGTTAGCACTTAATATGTAAATTGAATAATTTATGAAGTATAGAAATTTGTTAACCTAATCAGTTTTTACTTAAATGCACCAAAGATTTTTAGTAGGTATTAAAATAGTTTAAAAGAATTAAAATTCTTTGTTGTTTGAATAAATATTTGTCCAAAGAAGCACAGTTGAAGTCCTAGGATTATGGATTTTTAAAAAAAAATCATTAGTTTGAATAATAAGATTAAGTGTTTGTGTTTATATGTATAAAAATAAAAACAGAAGAAAACACTCTGGGAATAGTCATACTGACAAACCAATTACAAGTAAGAATACTCAGTTTCCCTCAGTTTAATTAATTAAATGTTACCTTTAAGTGGACACTATTAAATGCTAAATAATAAGCTTATTTTTTACACTACACTATTAAAATAATTTTGCCTTAGAATTTTTTTTTTTAAGACAAGTCGAACTTATTTTTATAAGAAACCCCACCTATTTTTTGCAGCCTAAAATACCATTTAAGATTAGGGTTAGTTCTTCATGCCAGCAAGATTTAACCAACAACTGTAAAGGTAATGATCTTTGCATACTTTTAAGTAACTTAATCATTTATTGCTGGGAGAAAAGGAATAGCATAAATAGGGTTTTAAACTGGTGCTTTATTAAGTGACTTCCTTTTAAGTGATTGTAGGTCATGAAGTAGGTACACTAATATTCTGTCAGCTTTAAAAGTGTCAAGACATCTTTGCAGAGTGACTATAAACTGTTAAGGGCTCATAAGTAATTAAATATCACTCATTGCTTTTCACTCTTTAATTGCAAACAAAAACACAAACTGGTGTGTTTAGAAGTTTGAGTTCTCTTCCTACCGGATCATTTTAACATAGCATTGATGAAAAGTCAGATTTAGAGCATTAGCTCTTTGACAGTGTCCTTTTTATACCCAGTCTTTTCTGAATTGAATGCTTTGTGCCTTTTCGCTGTGTTGTAGTTGCTTAAAATTGATTCTGCTCACTAGATTGTACTGGTTAATAAATGATTTTGATTTTGTTGTTGTTGTTATGGGTTTTATGTTTGTGTTGCCTGCTGGTCAGGCAACACTTTTTTAGATTATTTTATGATTATTTAGGAAAATGGCACTAAGTACAAGTGTGAACATTTGGTTTTTTAAAATCTCTTTTGTGGCCTTTATAGTTACTGTGAAGCCACTCCAGGCCCTGTCTCTAGATGCTTATTAGAGGAATCTGGCAAATAAAATAAAATGAGTAGTGTGTCTGCCTCTCTGTCTCCTCCTCCCCTCCCTTTTTAAAAATAATCAGTTCCCATAACTGCACAGCTCTACATTGAATGGCTTCTCATTTCAGTTTGCCTAAAACTGAACTAGAGGTGATGGTTTGAGATGAGTTTCTCATTAGGAGCAGCAACATTCCAACCAACATACAATTTGAGTTGATGAACTCAGGAAAAATTAGGACTTTTAAAGTCATATTGGATTATTCTAAGATTCAGTGCCAAATTTGGAGTAACTAAAAATGTATTCTTTAATAGGGAACAAGTAGCATTCTAAAACTTTAAATAGTGTTATGATAAATGTTACTTGTGATTAGGGTGAATAACGGATAATGTGAGAATAATTTTCTAAATAATTTCTAGGAACTATAGGCAATTCTTCCTTAGATCCTCCCCCTTTCTTTTACACATTCCTCTCGGTAAAGTCTGTGGTGTTCTTTTGGGGGATCACCCCCTTGTTTCCTCTAATGTTATTTCAACTTAAAGATACTTTTATCCTAGAATATTAGCATGCTTTCTGCTCTTCTCTTTGGAAGTAGCATTAATAAGATAGAAATAATAGGATTAGGTTGTGTGGAAGACGAGAGAAAGAAGGTCTTGGTAGAGTGACTATGTTTTGTTTACTCTTCATGTTTCATTCAACTTGCTATGTATTGATCTTAAATCTATGACTATTGAAGAAGCCCAAGACAATTTAAATTTAGCCTCTGCAGCCATTTATACAGAGAAAATAATTATATTCAGAGAATAGAGGTTATATAAAGATGGACGTATCTTTTTTTAAATCTCAAGTAAAAAAGTAATTTCAGTGCTTGCATTGTTGGAGATTCTAAAACATTTCTTGAATGAAGAGCATGTATACTTCTCATTGTTATTTTGCCTCTTTGCTTGGTATTCCTGCTTGCGTTAAAGTTGGACAGTGTACTGTGGTGTAATTACAAAATTTTGATTTCTTCCAACAATTGGACTTTTCTTATCCCTATAGATAACAACTGTATTACAATAGTTGAGTGTGGCTGCCAAAAAGAATGAATACAGAGGTGGGCATTTAGCTGCTCCATGTTGTGTAGTAAGTGTTCTAATTAAAGGGATTTATGATGTACATTAAAGTGGAAATGCTTTTGAACTTAGCCTTCAGTCTCAAATCATAAGTTTTGTTTTTAATCATTAAAGGACACTTAAAAGCAATTACAAAGAAAAATCTAAAATATCAAAATTCATTATTTTGTCAACCGTGTGTGAAGTATCTTGTGAGTTACATAGGTATTTTAGCTGTCTCATGTTTCGTAAGTACAAATGTATAGAAAAACTCAGTTCTCTGTGAAGACTAGGAAGTGTATTGTATATTGAACTAGTTCTTTGTGTTATTTTGATATTTAAAATAAATACAAAGTTCTTTGGTCCTAATAAAGCATATCTAGGTTTTATTGAACACATTTTAACAGCATGGAAATGCAGAACATACTCTGCATGACTCCTTAAAAATTGAATGCAAAGACCATAAACAAATGGAAAATCTGGCTTACCATACAGTTCCATCCATAAACCGGGCTTTTCCTTCCTTTACAAAATGGTCGTAAGGAAATCCCCAATTTTCCCACGGTGTAGATTGAGAGAGAGCCTGCGAAATACAGTTGACTCTTGAATAATGTGGGTGTTGGGGGAACTGACACCTGGTGTAGTTGAAAATCTGTGCATAATTTTGACTCCTCAAAAAGTTAACTACTAATAGCCTACTGTTGACCAAAAGCCTTACCAATAACATAAACAACACATATTTTGCATGTTATATGTATTATATACTATATTCCTAACAATATAGTAAGCTAGAAAAAATAAAATGTTAAGAAAATCATAAGAGGAAAATACATTTACAGTACTGTAAAAAGTCATGTAAGGGAACCAGTGCAGTTCAAACCCAACTGTCACCTACATTTGCAAAGATGTGACTGGGATGTAGGGAAACAAGCAATAATGCAATACCCTGGAACTATTAACAACTATGGTATTCCCTCCCCCAGATCCAACGGGACAAGGGGAAAGACCCCTGTGGAGAGGGCACCTGTTCAGCTATGTGTTGCTTTTAATGTTGAGATGTAGTCAGCCCAAGGTGGGAGAGGGGAGGAAGTAAGTACCCTCCCCTCCCTCTTTTTCCTTAGTGATCTCCCTCTTTGAAGCAAAACAGAAGCCACAGAGTAAAAAGGCTATTAATGTAGCATATACAGAATGTAGATCAGAATCCCACAGCAAAGTACAGTCTGGAAAACAGTGGGGAGTAGAAGTGAAGGGGCAAATACAAAATATCCAGTACAGTAAAAAAAAAATTGTGTTAATAGCATTTGTTCATGAAAAACTATGAAGGGAAAACATTAAAAAATGTGCTATCACCATGTTAAAAGAGTTGCAGCAAACATTTCAGTGACTTAAGCTTTAAGAGGACTTATATTTGCAATGTTAATTTGATGAATAACAATAATATGAAATAATATAAAGTGTACTTGAAAATCATTGTAATTAATATTAACATTTTTTGCTTAAAAAAACTAGTAGTGTTCTTACTGTGCATCAATCCTAAAGGCTTCCCCCCCCCAAAAAAAACCTCAATAAACAATTTTGTTTAAAAATTGTTAAGGTAACAGGATTCAACTTCAGGTTATGTTGGGCATAAGTGAATGTAATTTAATATCTCCCCTGTCTCATTTTTCTACTCAGACTTTGCTTTCTCTATACTTCGTGTACCCATACACACATCCATACATTATAGTTTCTTAATATCTTTAGAGGCAGTATGGTGTAGTGGGTAAGAGCAAAACTAAAAACTGCCTGTGTACATATCCTAGCTTTGCAAGTTGCAGTCTTGTATGCTCTGTATTGTTCATCTGTAAAATACAAATAGGAGCTATTTCACAGAGTTGAAGTGAAAGTTGAGGTAAATGTGTAAAGGACTTTAAACAATCCCTGGAATATAGTAATAGCAATATGCAAGCCATAATCATTATTATTAGATACCTACAGTTAAAAACCAAGAAGTTGTTAAGGGCAATGGCTGTCAAAACCATTACTTACGAATTCTTGGAAATCTCGGTTTTCTTTGTTTATCTAGTTTTGCTCCCTGAATTCTGAGGTAAGAACCAGCACGGAGAATTACTGAGAACTTGTATGGTCAGTCACTGAAATAAGCACGTTCACACAACTATAAATTTAATTTTCTTCATTTTTCTCCCATCTCTCCCCAGGAAACCGCAAAAGGAAAGCTAATCAATATAATTCTGGGTGGGGTCTATTAGATGAGAGGAATGATTTAAATTAATTTTTGCCTACTTAACGGTTTTACCTAAGGTTGTCTCGGGCACCCGCAATGATTGCTACATTTACTGTGGAAATGCTTTTACTCTGTCCCCTTTAACCCAACCTGTTTACAAATAAGCTAATTTCAATTCTAAACCATGGGTTTCGGGGTGTCGTCAAGACTCCACCAAGGTTTTCGCCCTCTTCACGCAGAGCGAGCGGCTGCCCATGTAATCGTTTAAATAAGGCGCTGTCGTCCCATTGGCCGGAGGCTGCTGCCCATTGATTGGCCTTGTAAGGAAGTGGGCGGTTCCCGGGCGCACCCATTGGTGGAGGCGAGAAGTTTAAACCGAGGTTAGGGCCACACTTGCTTTGCTCCGCTTTGGAGTTTGCGAATTTGTGGCGTTTGTTTCTTTTTTTCCGGCGTGTCGGCGACTGGAAACGAAAGGGGGGAGAATTCGCTGTACGACCTCCACAGCCGCCTCCGAGGGGCCGCGGCCGGGGTCCCCGCTCCGCAGCAGCCTTGTGGGAGCCGCGCCAGAATCTCGGCGGCGTCTCGAAGCTGCCATGGCGACCCGGCGTATGGGGCGAAGCTGGGAGGTGAGCCCCACCGAGCGGAGGCCGCCGGCTGGGCTGCGGGGCCCCGCGGCCGAGGATGCGGCAGCTTCCCCGCCGGTCCTGTCTCTCAGCCACTTCTGCAGGTCTCCTTTCCTCTGCTTCGGAGATGTGCGCTTGGGAGCCTCGCGGACGCTGCCTCTGGTCCTGGACAACCCTAACGACGAGGTCGCTGAAGTGAAGATCTCCCACTTCCCAGCCGCGGAGCAGGGCTTTAGCGTCTCGCAGCGCTGGTTCGAGCTGCAGGTAGGTGGTGGGAGGGGCGTGCCCGGGCCTGCGCCCCGGCTCCCTGCTCTCCTGTGCCCTCTTTGCGGGGGGTGGGAGGGGGCGACTTGGAAAAGACACCCACAAACGAAGGATGCCCTAGCTCCTTTTCACTGATTCTGGGCTAGTCCTTATCCCACCTGCTCCACAGATGGTTAGGGTAAGTGCTAATTTGGGCGGTGACAGCACATCACCGCGCGTGCAGGGTGCATCTTTAGAAGCATTTTAATAGATCTATCTATTTAGTTATTTTTAGGATTGCCGGGAGTAACTTGGTTAGAGCAGCTTTTTAAAAAATTATTGCTTCCTATCAGTCATCTTATGCGTTTTAGTGTCCATATGTATCAGGGAAACTGACTCCAAATAGAGTCAGGGTAACTACTTATGCAGGTGAAATAGGGAGCTTTGTTTTGGCTGAATGTGTCTACAGCAAAAAAACAAGCATGGGTGGTACATGTTTTAATATCATACTCCTTTTTTTCCTCTCTGCTACAGTGTCGTTTTAATGGTGAATCAAATTTAATTTTACAACTGTTGCTTCAAGAACAACCTGCGTAGCTGTTCTGCATTGCATTGGCCATAGTAATGTTCCCATCCCTCTTACCAAAAGCTAGAGAATTTATATTATTTTGACTGCTGTGGCCTTCCCATTGAGAACCTCTGAAAGTGTGAAAATAAACCATTAGCTGAGGGAGTCTGACTAGTCTATACAACTGCTTCATAATGTAGTGAGAAGAGGCTCTAATCTGAGGTCTATTAACTTGTGAGCCAGCAGTGGTTCAGTTACACTTTAAGAACCTGTCTCTCCCCTCTA